TGGCCCAAGTGTATTATTCATAGAAAGTACTGACAAGATTATAAACTGTATATGCAAATAGCAAAATATTAGTTTTCTTACTACTACTACTACTACTACTACTACTAGTTGGTTTTGGTGGCAATACTACGATTGATTCAGCTTAGTAGACCTATTTAACTTAACCTCTATTGCGTTATTATATGTTGATTCATTAGCTTCAATAGCATTGCATACTAGTAGATTAAAAGATAAATAATATTGGTAGGGAAAGTAGCCAACGTTAACAGACAAAAAATCTAAATTACTTATTAATTATAACTCGTTTAGTAAAAAAAGTAAAATTCTATCTACATAGGCCTATATTTTTATTTTTAAATCGCTTGTTTATATTTAAAACAACGTTTTAATCAATTCCTAGATAGCTATGCTGTAAGGACCTTTTACCATAAATTATAAAACGCAACGTCTTAAATTGAATTATTTATATCCACAAAGACAATAAAAATATCAACAAAACCACAAAGCGTTCCGACAAATTAGGGAACCAATTGCGAAAAGCAGGCGAAAATCTAATTAAGGGTTTATTTTACAAACGGAATCGCCATATCGCATAAACGTCGAGCTGGAATTATGTGACAACAAGAAAATTGAACGATAAGAACTGAAATTAATCAAGTTTGCAGAAAGTGGATGGGAAAATGGCGTGACTCTACAATGGTTAGGCGCTCGCAAGCGTGTGGTCTGCACCGCTAACCATACAGGACGGCCAGCTGTTGTGTAAACAAATTATTTGCTGAAATGTTATATAAAATCTTTGTAAAACTGGAGAGCTGCTTCCATTGATTTTTGGTTTATAAGTTAGGCATTACACCCGTATGGACCAGTTGTAGCCACCGTGTTTTAAACTTAACAATTGTGAAGGATATCTATTTCAACTTAAGGTATATTGGCTTTTCCAATGACAATCCCTTGAATACAGTACGCTTCAGTACGTAAGGGAACACCTCAAATTCAAGTGACCTAAATATTTAAATTTACTCGAATTTTCCTAGTTAAATCAATGAGGTAAATGTAGATATTTAGGTCACTTTAAAAATTAAAGCTGTCCTTATATTTCTATACGTGATGCAGTCGATACACTTGGTATAACAAGAGGTATTTTACCTAAAATTTAAACAGTTTTAACTAATTTTTTGCTGAAAAGATCTATTTAAATAAGTTACTCAAGGTCGAAACTCTATTCTTCCTTAGTATAAGTTACTTTGATAGTTTATGTGACGTAAAAGGTGATATAGTATATACTTAGTTGTTCCTTTAGTTTGTCTTGATTCAGTTGGAGTATTTGACAGAAAATAGTAATCTACATCAACGCACTCTGTTCGAGGATAAATTAAACTATTGTACTTCCTTTTTTATTTGCTGATTACTTTTACGGTATATTTATATCCCAAGTCAATGATAATTTAATAAGTGTAATAAGGTACAATAAATTATCATTTAAACATATTTAAATTTAATTGATATTCCAATAGTAAAAATTGGTATTTTCCTCAAATTTAAAATTATGGAAGAGTTTTTGCATTTATTTATAGTTGATTAAAACAGTATATGACCTCAATGTTTGGTGGACAGCATAATATTTACGATTTCACTGGCCCCATATAATATATTTTTATTACTGCTTTGGTGCTTTAACTTTAGGTGGCGTGACTTCGACGAAATGTCTTCATCAAACCACGAGGTGCAGATTGGCGTGTTCTTTTATTACGTTTTTATTGCAGATTAAGTTGCCAAATTACATAATTCACGTCTGAATGTCGTAATGTTTAGTTTATTAGAGCAATAAAAACAGAGTTATAGAATAAATAGAATGTCTTTTATTACTTGTACACACCGGTTAGATATGGAGCAAAGCATAAAGAAAGGCTTGGGTATCGATTGATTCCTTATCAAATTAATTATATCAAATTAAAGATTTAGCATTAAATATTGTACCAGTAAATTTAAATAATTATTTATGTGTTACAGTACCTTGAAATACACATGTAAATGACAAATAATTTAAATTTCAACATTAACACTTACATAAAGTTACACTATGCTACATTTAGTTAGCAAAGTACTTTATTCTTCAGCAATGTTTTATAGTAAAACTAAAACATGTGACCCGTTTTAGAGTAACACAGTTTAACTGTTCAAGATGGTACGGCATCAAATCGGAATTCTATGTTATCTATTTAAATCTCAAATTACTAGAAGAAAAATACAAGAATGGATAAATGCTAAATAGAAACAACCTGTAAAGATTATAAAAATGTATGCCAGGTAAGTAAGTAGTTATAAAGTTATGCTTAGCTTCAAAGCTGAAGGTTTTGGGTCCAACCCCAGTGGAATCGATGCTGAATCTAGCTTTAATCTGTAATTTGTCTAAAGTTTAATCATGCTATTAATAAATCCAATATTAGACGGCATTTTTACTATTATTTCAACTACTGTACAGACAGTTGCCGTACGAAAAACGAATTAAAATGACGTTTTATCACTAAAAAATTAAAAACAGTTGTAGGAAATTTTATTTTAAATTTAAGCCCCTTTCACTTTGTATTCTTATCCATTTCAATATCAAGTTTTCTGAAGTTTCACTTGACCAAACTAGTGATTAAGTAGCTAATTAAGAAGAATAATATTACAGCATATTTCTCGCTACATAAAATCTACCAATACATTCTTCAACAGGCCAATTCGAGTACTGTATATGGAATGCAGCACAACAGGGCTAAGTCAACAAGGTGTTCTGAAGCGATGATGCCATGCATTGGTCATTGGATGTTACATATAGATTGGAATTATCCCGGATCGTATATCTGCTGGAATGACCGGATTGAACTACTCGTTTGTATCGACTACTTTATAATACAATTAACAGCGGCGCGTAACCATGAAGCATGTTAGTTATGACATTCAGTTGAATGGATGCTTTCGATAGTTGCGATTATATCGAATAGTTTATCGGTAAAGTTGATTACTCCATTCTGTGGGTTGAATGAGTATTGGTTTTATTTGGGTTTGTTTTACAAATAAAAATAAAAAAACGATGATGTAAGTAACATTTTCTTTTGAAACTATCAGCAAAGGACAGTAAAACATTATGCCTGGAAGACGCACAGTTATAGTTTCGTCTTTGCTACTTCCACAAACCTTAATTTTAAATAACAGTTACAAGTTTTGTGTTTATTTCTTCGGCCTGAAACTCATAACTTCATTATATTGATTATTTTATCATAATACTAGCTGCTGTACCCGTACTCCACAACGGGGAGAGAATTCAGATTCAGAAAATGGAGGGTCCCTTTACCATCATAATGTATATTGATGGTTAAAACTATCTACGGGTATAAACAGCAACGGTTATAGATTATTTTTGTGTTTCCATAATAAACTAAATAGTTTTAGAATAAATAAACAATGACAAAGTTTTAGAATAGACAAAGCTATCACATAGTTGTGTAAAATATTATATTTAATTTGTTTGGATTAGCTTTCTGAAATTGTGAAAAAAGCATTTAGCACACGTTTAACATTGAAATGTCAACGCAAAGGTAAACAAAGATTGTCAATTATCTCATGTTTCCATTTAGAACAAGCAATATTTACTTTTGAAAGTCGCACCTCAAAACTTTGGACATCAGAGGGGCGTAGCCTGGGAGGAACACAGAGAATGAATAGGCATATGGCATGTGAACCATCTTTTGGCTTAGTTTTGGCTGTATTAGTTTGGTATTTTAGTCGTGGTAGCCGCACAGACAGAGAGACAGACACCACGTCAATTTTATAATAATATAGAAGACTTTTTTATGTTATATTATTCTATGCCATCCTTCTGATATTTTTGGACAATTTCTATCATAAAATATGTGGAATAAAACCTCCTGTTGAGGGAAAGACTACGTTAAAACAAGGTTTAGCTTATAAGACAAAGGGATCAAAAATGAAATAAATCAAGAACGAAACCGATAACCTTCATGTCATACCGTGGTTTTGAGTATCAAATTTATCTTTACTATTTGTCTACAGCCCACCTACAACCATTGACCTGGTTTAGAACAAAGCCATGGCTCAAGAGCATGTTGTAATATGTTTTACATAATGTAAATGGCATGTTAATATTAACGCTGTGCCTTGTTGAAATTCAGCTTTAACGTGTGTGGCATTCTGTAAAATGGTAAAAGATGCTAAAAACATGTTGAAATCTTGTAGAAATAATGTCATGACTTGTCAATAGGTTTGCTGCAACGGAGTTATTCATATTAATTCACAAAGCGCTCTGTGTGATTTAAGCAGATAACAGAATGAGTTTAGACTATAGTAGTTGATCAAAGCTTTGGGATATTTACCTACATCTAAACATTTTTAGCCTCCTAACGTTTATATACATTACTTAACACAATTTGGAAAACGTTTGTAAACTTTCCCTATTTACTAGCCCACGTATTATATGGAGAAAGTATTGTTTTCGGAAATATTTTTGAGTTTGAGTGGAAATTTCAGTTTTCTGCCACTCTGAACCCAAAACGAGGTTTCTGGGATGTCTGTGTGTGTTGATATGTACACAGAGCTACAGACTCTACCTTTCGTTCCATTTTTAAAAAATCTGGTAAAAGTTTACTAATCAATGGTATCTCCAGGTTTTTTATATTTTTTTAGTTTAATAGTAATTTTCACATAAAAAATCGAAAAATCAAATGTCTACAAAAATTACCTTGAACATGTTAATTAATTACAATTTGGTATGTTTTAATATTTTTCACCCACCCTAAACTGTACAACTAACAATACTATATAATGTCCTGTTTAAAAGATATTGCAATTGTAGTTGGAATTTTCCCAATAAAATATCACAGTCACTCCCACCGCTTAATCTAAGGCCCCTATTACACGAGGTAGCCTGGCGACGTCGCCAGCGACCAAACTGGCTACTCAGCTTGTCATGGGGCATTGATTCTTATGGATGTTATTACACGAGGGTAGCCAGCGACGCAGCCACACTTTGGCGACCGACTGGCTACCGAGCCCCGTCGCCACTGTGGTAGCCACTGGCTACCCATATTGGCGACGCTGCGTTGTAGCATATGGAGCTTATTACACTAGGTCGCCAGTATCACGTCGCCACTCGGTTAGTTCATATCACGGGGGTACTTGCACACTGTTGTGTTGCGTTCTGTTGTGTTGTGAGTGTGTGAATTGTTCACTTCAGTTGATAAAATGTCTATATCATCCTTTATGACTCGAAGAAACTGGATTGTGACATACGAAAATAGTTTAAACATTTTTTATTGTCCGCACAGAGCTCATCAAAAAGGGTGTAATATAACCCTTTGATTCTCTTGCACTAAGCATTGGATGAACGTACATTTTTCTCTTCCTTTGCTTCCTTTTCTTCAGAAGTAACAGAAGGAGAAGATACTTATAATCACTCATTATTCACTGTAAACACCGCTCATAACAAGTACAAGTGCAAGACAAGCACTCACAACAACGGCGCCACGGCGGTAAAATTCTGGCTACTCAACTGGTTATAGGTTTGGTGGCCAGTGCGTCGCCAGCTACTGCCGCTGGCGACGTCGCCAGGCTACCTCGTGTAATAGGGGCCTAACGGGAGAATGTCTGTCTTTGCTGTAACCGCTTATTGTTAAATATTTTCGTGTTCGTGAAAGTAGCCTATTTATACCAATATTGTAACGCCTGAAACGCTGAAACCCCGGATGTCTCGTCAGTACAACGTGTGAAAGCTGTTGTTTATCAAGAACCATTAACAAACACCGATGACCAAACTTTGAGGTAAAATCACCGATCAAGTAGCAAAGGATTTTGGGTCGACTTTACTCAAAAAATTTTAATGTTCCTTTATGTATATCCTGATAGCCATAGCATTCCTTAACATAGCGGAGACAGTTCCCTTAAATTGTAAAATTGCATCATTGAATAAATATTACTCCAGACCCTAATCAAAACAGTTTTACCCAGTTTCCCCGTCACCGCCCTCGGCAGGGGTGCGTGTCCCAGTGAGCCGTCAGGGATAATAACCCACCTGACCGGGGTAAACAGATGGTTTGACCCAATTACCCAAACATCGACCCTAGCCCCAGGCGCGGACTGGGGAATATTTAAACCCTGTCAATGAAATAATTGGAAGGACAGACACGGGATATGAATTAAGACGATAACCACCGAAGAAGATGTAATCTCCCGATGGAAAAGCACTTTCGCTCGGGACCATCAACAAAATTTGAATAGCGAAGATTCAATCTAAATAAGTGTTATTAGCGTTATGTCGGTCTTACTCACGGTAGTTTAGGGTATTAATTATTTATAATGAAATCATTTTTACTCCGCTGTTTTTAAATGACAGAAATTGATGGAAGCGATGCCGGATTCAATTTCTATGCAAATTCCCAGTGGTCGCAATCATAGACAATAGTGTGAAATTTGATAGCCTCGCAGGATCAAAGATAATACAACGTTTTGTTTATTTTTACACCTACTGAGATTGGCCATTGTTTGGTGAATTTGAATTTTGAACAAGTTTTATCTTGATGAGCTTGTAACATACGTGGGTGCTTTTGAAAGGATGTTCAGTGGGTACTGATAAAAAGAAACTTGGAATCAAAGGTAGGCCTAATTTTAATGTGCAAAATAATTACTTAACTCAACAAAGAAATACAGGGGAAATATTTACTACAAGATTATGAAGAGCGTATAGGTTTTTTGGGTGCGATCCTTAATACTTTATCACAGCTATAATAGTAATGGCTCTCTTACCTTAAACTACTTCTGCCCTCAGTCATGTTTAAAGGGGTGGATGGATAATCGTCAAGATAAATAAGCTTAATAATTGTATTCAGTAAACTTAATGACTTAATTAAATAAAATAATCTGTGCTCAGTCAAACTAATCGGTAAAATAGTTTGTTTTGTCTTACCTTCACCCCCTAGGGCATAGACTGTAGCCAGAAACTGTTATAACATAACTGTAGGCTAGTTCTTAAGGGTCGCGGCATTTCATATGGATAAAATCTATTGATGGTTGGTGGGATTTGAACCCGAGACCTCGGGCTCCGAAGCCTCGAGCTCTACAACTAGAGCAGCATTACTAGACAACTAGTACCATACCAGCAATAAAACCCAATCGGTGAAAGAATGGTGATTTCTTAGTACTGGTCATACAATTAAAGCTGCTAGTTTTTCCTGAACATGTTTAAGTTTACTGTTGAGACATTTAAGTTTATGAACCTTAACTTACACCAGCCAGTAAACACATTTCCCAACTAGACAGATCACATTACTAATCTTGTATTACCTACGTGTACCTAACTTCATTATGAAACAATACAGACAACACTTTACCCTTACACAACGTTCCCAAGATAATCAACGTGAAAGTACACAGACAGTTTAGGAGGCAAATGGATCATGATGACCTAAGTTGTTGCAACTCTCTACAAATGTTTACCTCTTGAGAGGGCCATTAGCTGGACAACGTCACTTGTCTAGTGTGAAACGTAAAGTGATATCCATCAACTACGTCACTTCACTGACATGGTCCAGCGTTGTAATGTGATAAGACTGTGATCACTTGAGGCTTAGAAGGGTTTTAAGGTTTAGAGTGTAGAGGATTAAACCGATGACGCTTTTCTGGGAATAATGGCTGAGAAAAATTTTAAATCGCAGTAAAAAACTTGGCAAAATTGAGATTTTTGTAGAGAAGGAGGGGAGATAACGAACATAAATATTTTGCAAATTTAAATCATTGTAAGATTTTAGAAATCTTCAACCCCTAAATCTGTGATATAACATTATGGAATTAGTGCCACGCTGGAAAAAATTGTTTTCAAATGTTTTTCATTTATCTCTTCCCACAACACGTGTATTATGAATGCTGTTTGAATCACTTTAAAATGCAATAATTTGTAGTCATTTATATACTTTATCATTGGGTCTATTCAAGAAGTACACAACATTACTAATATTCTCAATGAGCTCATAGACCTTTCAATATCTGTATGTTCGTATGCAAAAATAAAACATACAAGGCCTATTTTAAAGCTTAGCGAAAATTCAAATAAAATAAAGAGGGTTTACCAACCGATTAACGTATTACAATGGGTTTTCTTAAGAAAATCTTAAGACGCTTTTCGTTTGATTATTTTAAGAAGAAATCATTAACTTACTATCAGTTTCAGACGCGTTAATATATCTGCAAAAATACACCTGCAAACTTTAAATCATCTGCAAAACCCCTTATAATAAAATAGGTTAATATAACCCATTTTAGAGAATTTTGAAGAAAATCTATTTATAAAGAAACCCCTTTATGATGATGCAATTGTCATCACAAAGAGGTTTCTTTATAAATTGATTTAAAGCAGTATTAACGAAATTATATGTAATAACACTAACACACAAGGACTTTTTACAGGGGTCATTTAAGCCAATTCATTCATATTGTAAATTAGTGAAGATTTGTTGAATCACATGTGTTCTTCCATGGTGTCACAATTCCAATCCAAAACCAGTCCAACACAAGCCCAGTTAGGTAACCGACCTATCCTACGATTGTCATGGTAGCTCTGCCCTACTTTGGTAGCCGTTGTGTCGACATAACTCCTAATTTGCCTACAACATTTACATTTGTAATTATCACCCGCCACTTCCACAGATCACATCTGTGACTTACTGGCGCAAATTAGCATCAAAGGTCATCTGACGGTGACCAAAAAGTGTTGATTTACTGGTGTTACGTAACGACTGATTGGGATATGTTAATATTTAGGATGCATTGTTTAGAAATCAAAATATCTGATGGTGTATTATGTTATTATTAAAATGTACACACGAATTATTGGGATAAAATGTCAAAATATCTCATACTAACTAGGTAACAGATCAATAATTAACAGTTTCCCACAGATATTAAAAAAATACACTCAATTGCTACCCTCCTCAGAAGTTGTGCAAATTTTGTACTCGGTTAAAGAGAATAACTGGGGAATATCATTTTGATTTTTCTCCAGTAGGATTCCTTTTGGATAAAATATTTTAACCGATTGCCATAACATATTCTGTTATGAAGAAATGTATATGTATTTGTGATATATTGGTAAAATAAAGTATTTACTGAATCCAAATTCAAAGGTGTTAACACTGGAAAAGCTGGTATAATATTAATTATAAAATAACTTTTGATCAGCATTGTAAGTGTTATTAAATTTACGGAAAGTAAGTAAAAGAAACGTTTTATAACACTTAAAACATATATTTACGCTTATACTGTTACTCACAAGACGATTGGATAATGATGATTGGAGTGTCTAATCGAAATCGATCACCACTTACCATCTTTTTTGTATATTTACCATCTTGTGAGTAACAGTATAAGCGTCAATATATGTTTTAAGACGTTTATTTTATTTACTTTCCGTAATTATAAAGTGTATTGAAACAGTGCACAAGCACGTGCAAAAGGACGATTTAAAGCTGCCTTCCTTGACGACATGTGTGTTTATGAGCAAAATCTGATGTTTCAACTTATTAAGTATCATATCAGACTTTGTAATCAAATCTCTTTGTAAAAAAATTGTGTGTAATGTAAAGATGTATCACAACACCAACCTTTCCCGAAAAAATCAGATAATTCTAAGAAACAGTTTAAATTAGCTATTCCAAGTAGGCAACTAGGCAAGTGAAACACGAGCATGAGTAGGCAGAGGCACGCAGACATTAGAATACACCAGCAGCAGCACTATCAGCTTCTAGCAGTGATTTAGCAGCACCTCCCACCCGTATAATGAACCTCTCACTTTCTTCGCCAATAAATAACACAGCTGTATATTGTGTTGATTGGGAGACAGTGAAGTTGAGGCTGGACTACTTGTTGCCTCAGCCGAGGTCCTTGATGACGTAACTCGGGCCTTATACATCTGAGGTGTTGAAATACCAATTAAAACCCGAATTCAATAACAGTGATATAGATTATGTTGATATGGGTCAGGGAGCCAGCAGTGACAGTTTGGTAGTTATTAGCTGCGTGAGTCACTGTATCACCATGT